ACCACTGCTTCTGACTCAACTATTCCAAGATGAATGCAAGCTTTCCTGGTGCTGAACCTCTGAAATATTTTTTTCCTGTTCCGTGAAGAGTGGCAGTGAAAAAAATGGAATGCATGTGCAACTATGCTTGCACAAACCACGGTGTGTCCACAGGGGCAGAGGGGAAGAAAAGAGTAATGAAGACCCTTTTTTGTATGTTGTTTTGGTGTGCCTTCAAATTGTTTCCAACTTATGGCAACTCTATCTTGGGGTTTTCAAGATTTCTTCAGCGTAGGGTTGCCATATCCCAATTTTTGCCAGGACATTCTCAGTTTCAAGGGTCTTTGGAATGCAAGGGCAAGGGCAAGGGCAAGGGCAAGGCTTCCCTGACCCTGGCACAGCCACACAGGGCCTTGGCTGGTCAAGCCGGCCGGAAGGCCAATCAAACCACAAAGACATCCAGAGGGCAAGGCCTCCTTGGCATGGCTGCGCGGAGCCTCTAGCCAGCCCCAAAGACTTCCAGCCAAGGGACGAGGCCTTCCTATCGTGGCTGCACAGGGCCGCCACCGGCCAGCCAACTAAACCATGAGGCAAAGATGCGAGGAGGTCCATGATGGCAAGGCCTTCCCCTGGTCTCAGTGCTGCTGCTGCCACCCTTTTCTTTGCCAGAGGAGGCCTTGGGGGCCAGCCAGGTGTTGTGCAGCCTTTCTTCTTCTCCTTCCTTCACAAAGCCATGGCCAAAGTCAGGTAAGGAAGAGGCTGGAGCAGGGGTTGTCCTCCAGGACATGTCCTTCATTGCAGACTTCTCTCCAAGTCTAGAAAGGAGGGATGCCAACCTGTCCTCCATTTGGAGAATACCTCTGTGGTTGTGGTGCACCTTCAAGTCCTTTCTGATTTAGGGCCACCCTCTGCTGGGGTTTTCTTGGCAAGATTGGTTCAGGGGACAGGGTTGCTATGCCCTTCCCCTGAGGCTGAGAGAGTGTGAATGGTGAAAGACACCCAGTGGGTTTCCATAGCCAAGCAGGGATTCAAATTCTGGTCTCTAGAGTCCTAGTCCAACATACAAACCATTTTTTAAAATTTTATTGTTTTTGGCTTTTAGTTGGTCATGTCCTCAATTTTTCTTGAATGTCCTGCATTTTGTCCTATTTCTCCCCCTACATTTTTCTACATTTCTACATGTATTTTTTTTATATACATTTTGTCCTGGTTTTGTGGAAGAGAATTATGGCAACCCTAGTTCAGAGGAAGTTTCCCGTTTCCTTCCCTTGAGGCTCAGAGAGTGTGACTTGCCCAAGATCCCCCAGTGGGTTTCATGGCAGAGCTGAGAATCGTACTCTGGTCTCCAGAGTCATAGTCCAAAGCTCAAGCCACGATGCCATGCTGGCTGCCTCTCTTGTATGGCGCAATGCATTGTTTCTTTGCCTATAGACCAGGAGTGGGTAACTGTGACATCTTTCAGGGCCACTTCTTTGCCTCAGGTCCTGTTGAGGGTTTCATGGACTTAATAAGATGCTAAAAAATAAACCTTCAGTTTGCAAAGCAAAATTTGTTAATGTGCAGAATGATCCTGCAACCTATTTAATGCTGCTCCTTGTGGTTTCTAGATGTAATTTGTTCTTTTGGGGATCTGGAAAAGGGGCACTCTAGGGGAGGTGGGGGACACAAAAACAGCCTTGAGGCCATTTTGCCTGGATATGCTGAGATCTAATTTTGCTTCTTCTTGACGTTTCCTCTCCAGCAGTCTTTACCATGAACCAAGCTCCCCCTTTGCACAATGCCCCCAAAGTACAATTGTATATGTAAGAGCATTTACACATGCAAATATAAAGATGCTAGCCTATATCTGTCCCAGGCATCTTTTTCATCTGCTTTGAAGCTGAGATGTCTCATACAACCTGCAGAATAATTGCCACATCAAGTACCGAGAGCCAGACTTACCCTGTGAGCCCCTGGACTGTGGTGAGTAGACCTCCTTCCCCGAGGATGCCGAGGAGACCTCCTCCACCAAGGAGTCCTCCATTGCCCAGAAGACCTCCATTACCTAGGAGACCACCACCACCACCAAGTATACCTGCAGTGCCAAGAAGACCTCCATCACCCAGCAGGCCTCCTGGTCCTAGCAGGCCACCAGCACCAGGACCACCACCATTGCCACCACCAGCACCTGGAGCCCCATAGACAGCCTGCCTCTGAACATATGCCCCTCTTCCTCCTCCTCCACCAAGCAACCCACCAGTGACCCCACCAAGCAGTCCTCCACCTCCACCAAGCAACCCCCCAGTGAGACCTCCTAGTAGATCTCCACCACCTCCACCACCAAGGAGGCCACCTAGTAGACCACCACCACCATCACCGCCACCTCCTCCTCCTCCTCCTCCTCCTCCAAATGACAGGTCTCTCATTGCTCCTTGGAGGGCATTGCTTTGAGCCACTGAGTTGGCGACAGCTGCAAAAGCAAACCACAAGGCACAAGGCATTAGGAAATGGAACAAGATGGACTCACTGCTGTATCTCTAGAATAATTCTTTCACAGATAGCATGCTACGTCACAGCCTGTTTGTGATTTTATTTATTTATTCATTGCTGCTGTTATGAATATATGTTATGCTGTTATGAACATATATGAATATGTTATGAATGTACATGCAGGTTGTTCTCAATTTATGGAGAAGTGAAGGCAAACCTATCACAGAGTTTTCATGGCCAATTTCTACAAAGGAAGGATTTGAAGCCTCGTCTCCCAGAATCCTCTAGTTCAGCACTCAGACCACACCATTCTAACAACATGCTATTTATGTTGTTGTTGGGTGTCTTCACATCATTTCCAACTTGTGGAGACCCTAGGGTGCACCTGTCACAGGGTTTTCATGGCAAGATTTATTCAGAGGCATAAAATTCAAAGATTTAGCCATGTTAGTCTGTAGAATCAGTGTGTAGAGAGATCTTGTAGCACCCTTGAGACTAACAGAAAGTAATTGGCAGTATCTGCATGAGCTCATGCTGCCAATTTCTTTCTGTTAGTCTCAAAGGTGTTACAAGATCTCTCTAAACACTTATTCAGGGGGGTTTGCCATTGCATCCTCTGAGGCTGAGAGAGTGTGACTTGTTCAAGGTCATCCAGTGGGTTTACATGGGTGAGCTGGGATTCAAACCCTGGCCTCTGGATTCATAGTCCAACACTCAAACCACTACACCATACTAGCTCCAGATTATTATTCATATATGCATTATATATATCATATACGTATAATATATATCACACAGAAAGAGAGAGAGAGATTTGATCCATATATATATGTGTGTGTAACTGATTCAGGTTACAGGGAAAAAAGGTTCCTGCAACAAATGAATGTAAGATCCTTTTTCTGTGAAACCTGAATCAGCTACACCATTTGCAGTTTTACACTATATAGTCTGTGGTAAATTCAGGAATGGAAAATTTCTGTAGTACCCCCTTTCCCTCGAAGCTCCAAGCACATGTTTATTTTGCTTAATGGTTAATCCCATCCTGCCTAAGAGACAGCCATCCAACTTCTATTTATAGACCTCCAATGAAGGGGAGTCCCCATCCTCTGAGGTTGTCTGTAGCCCTTCCTGGTCCTATGTAGTTTGACTTACCATTGTGCAAGACACCCTTTTTGACTCTGATGACAGCATCCGTGGGAAGCAGCTTCTGGCTAAGTGATGGAGACAGCCAACCGCAGAAGAAGACAACCCACCAAACTGCTAACATCTTGCTTTTGGCCAAACCTGCTGAGATAGGACACAGTTCTTACCAGCAATGGACTTTCTCCTGGGCAGTAGAAAGATGAGGGTGGAGACGTGAGGGCAGCATCCATAGCAGCCCAGAAATGATTGGTATTGGATGGAAGGAAATTAATCACTAGAATGCTATGAGGAGAGTCTACCTAATGGTGGGTAGAGACTCCCACATCAGTGGCGAGGTATGTCCGCTCTAGGGGTCCATTTGAAGCAGCCATGCAAGATGTTGAACCCAAACCCCTGAGTAGCCTTGTCCCCAGAGCAGGTTCAGCATCTTGGACGTCACCCCTTTAAAGGGCAGACTAAATCCCAGAGTGGATGCACTGCTCCAATGGTCCTCCATTGGGTTCACCCATCTCTGAAGAGCCTTCTCTATTTTACCTGAGTATTTTCTTCTGAGGGCAAGGGATAATGGAGGAATTTAGCCTTCCCCTCCCACAAATCAACAAGAGCATTTGGAATTGTCCGTCGCCACCTGTCTCACCTCTTTCTGGCTTTGGGAATAAAGAGGTGGCAACAGCCATTTATATGAGTGGCAAGGAGGGGGAGGACCCAGACCAGGTGCCAGGGACATTGAGATAATGGACTCGGTGTTGTTGGGGCAGTGGCATTGTCCTTAAGGATGTGGTTTGCCATATTGCAGCAAATATTTATTATTTTGTAAGCTCTGGAATGACTGTTAAGCAAGAGGTATCAAATGGACTCCAGGTTCCAGAATGCGCCTGGTATCTCTTTCTGTGCGTTTGGCAGATAGGATGGTGGGGTTTAGAACATTTCTTTGGGAGGAGACTGAGATCCAATATCCTCTTTAATCTTAGGAATGATGCAAAAGCAAATGGCTATCGCTTTTCAAGACTGATCTAAATGGACCTGATTATGCAGATCAGGGATGCAGGTTCTGCTCCATCTCAATTCAGGGTTCTCTCTCCAACTAGAGCTCAGGTAGAGTTACTTTTTGGACTGGTGATAATGAAGTGACAAGTTCAATTTTAACTATGGTCATTGAGGAACAAAGGGCCACAGGCGGAAACATTTTCCTAAGGCAAGCCTGCACAACATATGGCCTGGGGGCCACATGCAGCCCACCAAAGGATTTTGGGTGGCCCATGAAGATGTAGAATGACTTCAAGAGCCTCCGCTGCTCAGCCTCTTCCTGAGGAAAGGGCCATGTTGAGGAAGAAGAAGAGGAGGAGGAGGAGGATGGACAAATGCTTGCCCTGCTAGGCTCCTCCACTGCTCAACTTTCTCTTGAGGAGAAGGCCAGGAGGAGGAGGAGGAGGAGGAGAATGGGATTACCATTAATTAATTCCATTAATATTATTAATTAATTCCAATCAATATTACTTATTAATTCTAATTAATATTATTAATTATTTAGTATTTAATTAGAACCTATCTGCAGCCCAAAGAAGTTTAGCCTATTGTCATTTTGGCCCCAACCTAATGCCAAGTTGTGCAGGTCTGTGGCCCAAGGCCATGATGACTAAAAAGATGTTCCAAAAACACTAAACTAAACCCAGCTCACACGGTGTCTGATTCTTTAAAAGGCTGCCTCTGGACTGTTCTATCCCTTCAGAGTCCATCAGGAGACTATGAAATGACTATAAAAGCCAACACAGGAAATTTTTTGGGGGGGGGATTTAAGTAACATGGTGGGATTGCAAAATACAGTTTTGGACGTAAGGATAGCACCCTGTTCAGAGGTTAGGATATCAAAAGGTAGACATATGGCCCCGCAACATTTTGCTAATCATATTTACATTTGTGGCACCATTGCCATGACTGCAAGTATCCCTCAAAACCCACCTTAGCCATACCAAGCAAAGGAGATCTGCAGCACTGGTGAGTGGGGTGCCAAAGGATGATACTTTCAACCATTCCCACCAACATGCCATGGTGCAATCAGGGGTTGTACTGGGATCCCCCTGGGACCATGTATCTGCTTGTCATACCATGGGTAAATGGCAGAGGGGTCTGGACATATCACCCTCCTTGCCAGCATTGCAGAACTCCTTTGCTTGATGCAGATGCCTGTCTTTTAAGGTGAGTTTTGAGCGATAAGACAGAGAGACTATTCTAAAACATAGCCTAAAGAGCTGGCCTGGAGGTGGAGCTGGGGGTGGGATGACCTTACGCTGGCCACCTAGACTCTGCCCTGATGCTGCACCAAAGAGGTGCAAAAGAGCCGCCATGCCATGCAGCTCTAAGAGTGGCTTTTTGATGCCCCAAAAAGGAGCGGCATTTGCCCATTCTTTTGGGAGTGGCAAAAAGCCAGATTGGGGCCATGGCATGTGGTTGCCATGGCCCCAATCCAGCGCTCCCAAGGGTAGCATCTGCATCGACCCTTATTCCGTAAAATCAGTGTGCAAAGGAATCTTGTAGGTCTGGAAACCATGAAGCCCTATGAGAAGGGACTTAGGGAGCTGGGTATGTTTAGCCTGGAGAAGAGAAGTTTAAGAGGGTACATGGTAGCCATGTATACATATCTAAAGGGATGTCATATCAAGGATAGAGCAAACTTGTTTTCTGCTGCTCCGGAGACTGGGACACAGAGCAATGGATGCAGCTACAGGAAAAGAAATTCCACCTAAACATTAGGAAGAACTTCCCGAGAGTAAGAGATGTTTGACAATGGAACACACTCCCTTGGAGATTTTGGTGGAGTCTCCTTCTTT